ACACACACACACACACACACACACACACACACACACACACACACACACACACACACACACACACACACAAAGCATTTGTGTAGATTTGGGTACAAAAAATTCTGCTAACATTTCTTTCTAAAGTAGCTGTTGATCTACTGCTACTGATCACATTTGTACACGCCTCGTCCACAATTAGAAACCGCATCACAACTGAAACTTTCTCACTGCAACATTTRTGTGCCTCTGAAATCATAGCGCCATCTTGTGTCTGATAACATTTCCAGCAAATATCATTATTATAAGGTTTTAAAATTTCAGTACGGAAAATGTCAGAGCCTGGAAAGTACTTGTGGAGCTATACTTTAATCCAGGGCTGTTAGTTTTTGTCTTTAAATAGTTTAGATTGAGACACTGGTACATATTWAGACATTTTATAATAGCAGCAGTTGTTTTAGATTTTATTACAACCGCAGTTCTAATGARTTGGGATGTTGTGCAAAACGTAAACAAAAACAGAGTACGATGGTTTGCAAATCTTTTTCAACCRTTATTAAATTGGATACACTACAATGAGTAGATATTTAACATTCAAACAGATAAACTTTATTGTTTTTTGCAAATATTCACTCACTTTGAATCTGACGCCTGCAACATGTTTCCAAAAAGCTGGAATAAGGTCAACAAAAGATTGGAAAAGTTGAGGAATGCTCCAAAAACACCTGGTTGGAGCATTCTGCAGGTGAACAGGTTAATTGTAAACAAGCGAGTGTCATGATTGGACATAAAGAGAGCATCAATGAAAGGCTCAGTAAGAGATGTGGTGAGGCTCACCRCTTTGTGAACAACTTAGTGAGCAACAGTTTAAGAACAATGTTTCTCAATTTAAAGTATTTAGAGATTTCATCATCTACAGTCCAGAATATCATCCAAAGATTCAGACAATCTGAACAAATCTCTGCAAATAAGCTGCAAGACCGAAAAGCAACATTGAATACCCATGACCTTTGATCCCTCAGGCAGCACTGCATTAAAAMCCYACATCATTCTGCAACAGATATTAGCACTGGACTCAGGATGACTTCAGAAAACCATTGTCAGTGAACACACTTCATCTCTACATTTACAAGTGCAAATTAAAGCTCTATCACGCAAAGCCCAAGCCAGATATCAACAACACCCAGAAACGCTACCGGCTTCTCTGGGCCCGAGCTCATCTGAGATAGACTCAAAGTGGAAAAGTGTCCTGTGGTCTGGCCCCTAATTTACACTACATGCGTCCCGGCTCCGCTCCGCTCCGGTCCGACCTCCGCAGCAAATACACACCCATYATWAACAATGARAGTGTTTACACTGGCTGCGCACGGCGGTGGTGAGCGGAAGGTGATCTGGCAAAATTAGAACAGATCCTATTTTTGCCGGATGCCAGAGCTGCGCCAGAGTCAATTTTTAAAGATTATGTCGCACCAACAGGAAGAGAAACGAGCACAATGTCCGTATTTTTAAAATAAGACAMTATTAGGCKGGATAATTTGTCGGAATAATGTCGAAATCCCAGCTATATTAATCAATGTATGGATATATTTCTGCACAAATGCTGTCAGAATGTATCGTTCTGTTTGGGAAGCAGATGGAAACATSTAGCATGAAGCATATGTGTACACACACTACATACGTGGATTTTATTTTGAAATCAGAAGTTTCAGAAAGACGACAGCGAGACAGTTTCATCATAGATACCAAAAGCCTTTATATCATTGTTTTCAGCTGTGTTTGGAGTTCGTCTTTCACAGAATTAATTGTTTTTTGCTGTGACTTCCACATTTATCACTGAATTTATGGCGCAATCTCCTTCCTGCACACCCTCCCGACACCCTCCTTCCTCGGAGTCAGACCGGAGCGGAGTTGAGCGCAGCGGACGCTCTATAAATCGGGGCACAAACGATCAGCTGCGAACTGCGCAGCGCAGCGCAGCGGAGCGGAGATGCATGTAGTGTAAATCCGGGGCGATGAGTCCACATTTCAAATTGTTTCTTAAAATACTGGATGTTGTGTCCTCCTGGCCAAAAACGAAAAGAACTTTCTGGATTGTTATCAGCACAAAGTTCAAAAGCCAGCCTCTCTGATGGTATGGGGGTGCATTAATGTCCATGGCATGGGTAACTGTCACATCTGTGAAGACAGCATTAATRCTGAAAGCTACATACAGGTTTTGGAGCAACATATGCTGCCATCCAACCCACAACCCTTTGCAGAGACATTCTGCTGATTTCAGCAAGACAGTGAAGACACATTCTGCATGTGTTCCAACAGAGTGGCTTCTTAGTAAGAGTGTCGGTACTAGACTGGTCCTCCTGCAGTCCAGACCTGTCTCCCATCGAAAATGTGTGGAGCATTGTGAAGCACAAAATACAACAGAGATCTCAGACTGAAGTTTTTCCTCAAGCAAGAATGGGAAAGAATTCCATCTACAAAGCTTCAACAATTACCCCGGATTTATACTAAATGCGTCTCCGCTGCGCTGCGCTGCGCAGGTCGCAGCTGTTCATTTGTGTCTCAATTAATACAGACTCAGCTCCGCTCCGGTCCGACAGAGCGTGTGCAGGAAGGAGATTGCGCAGTAAATTCAGAGATAAAAGTGGAAGTCACAGCACAAAATAATTAATTCTGTGAAAGACGAACTCCAAACACAGCTGAAAACATTGATATAAAGTCTTTTGATATATATGTTGAAACYGTCTCGCTGTCGTCTTTCTGAATCTTCTGATTTYAATAATGAACTCAAATCCRCCTGTAACCATTTTAACAATTTTAGAATTTTACGAAAAAATGTTATTTTGCAAACGGTAAATGTACATTTTTAAAAGGAGCCGTTAAGATGCGGTTGATACATAGATCTGCTTCAATTCAAGTTTTTAAATTATASTATAAATGATTCAACCAACCATGTACAAATGATAGACTTTACAATTATAGAATTGTAAGAAWATCTGTTTGTTCACAATAGAAGCCTGTTAGTGTCAGAAACCGTTTCAGTAATCTTCCTACATATGATGTATTTAGTCACACTGGAGATGATGACAATCATGATGATTTTATGTCTGCAGGGTAAGGCAGGTATTCCAGGGAGCASCGGGGAAAGGGGCCCGCATGGTGAACCAGTAAGTAAACCTTTGTAAACAGAAGGCCTTGATAGTCTTGAGTTTTCATTGTACCTTGCATAAATTCAAGATGCTTTCTTACAGATGTAGCAAAGCAGCTCCAGAACTTAAAACTCCAAGCTTGAATCTAGATGTTAAACAACTTTGGTTGTTTTGAAGTGCTCTATAAATGCAGTAGTAGTAGTAGTAGTAGTAGTAGTAATAGTAGTAGTAGTAGTAGTATTTGTTTCTGGCACTTGTGGAAACCAAAAACCGAATTCACTCCCTAGAAACCATCATGTCTTGAATCTCTTATGACTGTGGGAAGAAAACAAGGAGTGATAATTACTTACAAAGCTGCATGTTGGAAATATTTCAGAAACACTTGAGAAGCTCTGGCGTGACTCGCGACCAAACCTTACACAGTTTACGAGGGGAAACGAGGGGGTCGGCTGATCCTTTCATCACTTGTTGCTTTCCCATTAATTCACACCTGAATGTGCGACACCTCTCTTGGATTAGATTTTGATTTTTGGATTTTTCTGGAACCCCTCAGGTGTATAAAGAATTTCAATCAGACCTGGTTATTTATTAGGKTGGGAGCATCCAGTAAAGCTTGGGGGCCTTTGCTCGTCGAGCCTCATCTTGTGTTTTGGCTGCTTTTCAGTCTTTTTATTCTCAGCTCTCAAGTTTCTTTTGTCAACTTTATTACTAGAAATCACTACTATTGTGTCTTTCAATCAATATTACACCAAGTCAGCCAACCATTATAGTGCTAATTGTGTTTTTTATGCATTTCTAGGGACCTAAAGGACCTCCTGGAGAGTCTGGACCCAATGGAGAGCAAGGACTTGAAGTAATTTACTTGAGAAATTCAGAATTATTTATCAGCCGACATAACACTGACCTTTAGAGGCGTTGCATTTATGCTTGTATAGGCCATGTTTCCTCCTTCATTTCCATGTCTAATTATTGTAGGGTGGTCCAGGTGCTGAAGGGGAGCCAGGTGCAGTTGGAGAGCCAGGATTAAAGGTCAGAGGGATTCTTTAAAAGTCTGTGAAGCTTCTGCTCTCGTCCACGTGACAGTAATGTGAAAATTCATGTTTGTACTTGACAAACCTGCAGCCCGGTTGAAAGAGGTTTGGTTTCTAGGCACATATACGTGTGTTTGATGTTCAGRCGGCCCTGCGTTTTGTTCTGTTTTGCCATAGGGTGATGTTGGACCTCCGGGGACTGATGGGGAACAGGGTCAGGAGGGACTCAGAGTAAGTGACATCCATGTGTGTACGTAAGCTTAATTCAGATGAAAAGTAGTGGTGGTACAGAGGCCTCGGAGCTCGTGTCACAGTTTCTGAAGCAAAGTGATTCATCACGCCGCGTCGTGTCGGAGCTTGTGTCACGGCCGTCACGTGCTTCGGCTTCACTTTCACGCTTCATTGGTTCGAAATGTTTTGAAGCTTTTCCTTCGCTCGGAGCTTTCAAACCAAACGTTCTAAATAAACTCTTATATTCTGAAAAGTGTATTTATGAGCTGTTGTGGCTTGGCAGTCAGTTCTGCCTTATAAACCCGATGCTGTGTTCCAGCTTGTTTTGTCAGGGTGAACATCAAATGAGAGACAATTACCATAATTTTATGCAAGTTCGCTCACTGTAGTGCTTAGAGACAGGAAAAGCAGAATCTATATTTATTGTTTATACTTTGGTTTAATCTGAAATGGTTTTTAAAGTGTAGGAGAGTGCATAATGGAATTTTATTTTTAAAATACACTTAATTCCTTTTAAAAAATAACTTAGTTGTGATTCTGGTTCAGTATCTACTGACTTTTACAATAATTTTGTAATTATTTTTAATTATGTAATGATGATGTAATCATTACTGCTGACATGGGTCTTGCTGTGATATCAGTTGGCCACCAGGTGTCACTGTTCTGAGACTGAAGCATAGACTTGAATATAGATCACTAGACTGAGCTCCATCCTGTCCACTGGTAGCATCTGTGACAGCATGGAGGAGCAGAAATGGAGTCCAAACAGGACAACAGCTCACAGCCTCCATAGAAACTAAT